TTGGAATACAGATTGCTTTTATTGGGAAATTTCTACTAACAAATTACGGTTTTTATGTTAGTCATTATTATTTATTATAATATGTGATTTTGGAATAGAATACTGGGATTCTGTTAGAGCAAACTTCTTTTAGTGTTAACTTATATCATTAAAAAAAGCGATACAAAGACCGCAGAGCTCCTTGCCAGTTCTTCTCTGGTCAAGCCTAAATTGAGTAAAGTAATTTCGACGTGAGAGTGTAATTGTCGAGCTTTTGATACAATTGCCTCATCGTAAAGCTGAAAGCGTACCGCAAGATTAGCGTCGGTCTTCATGAAGGGCCTGCTCGAACGAGGAACAGCACTGCAAAACGTGCTCGGATGAACAGTTTTCAATAACAACACGTATAACGTTGATTGGCAATTCAAAATCTCATGATCAACAACTTGGCAGTTCCTAATGAGTTCCCTGTCTTCCTGCTAAATACTAAGACTCTCCATCTGTCTGTTAGTACTCGGACGACAGCAGATAGTTGTGGAGAATACTGGCTGAGATGTCAGCAAGTAAAATTCCTAGAAATTTAAATTGTTTATAGTGCTAGTCTCTGCACTTAAGATTGAACATTAAAATTAGTGGAAAAAGTACGAAAAGACTGTCGCCGCTGTGGGAATCGAACTCATGTGTTCGGCATTCGCGGCCTGATGCTAGCCACTGAGCTAAACGGCTGATTGGCACATCGACGAAAATCTTAACGTCCTTTATCTACATTGTATTTTAGCATTTGAAGCAATTCTTGGCGCATCCATTGCTATATCCTTTCCAGCATACAAACAATTTCGAATATCGTTTTACAACGATAATTCAAACGAGATGTCGCCATTGGAAAAGCAATTCCTACCAAAGACGTTAAGGCTTAATGTTTGTTGTCACTGCTATCAATGTAGCTCGTGGATTTTTTTTGTGGAAAGCCTATCCACCGTAGCCTTGAAAGTGCCCGCGCTGTAATCGGTCGGAAAGACAGACATCGGCAGGTTATTCAATTCCTTTGCTGTACGGAAAATAAACGATAATGCAAATTTTTTAAGCATCGTTTACTCTGAACCTAACCTCAAAGCTAGATTAAATAATTGTAACCAAATTGAGGTCCATTATCTTTTTCGTATGCAATCTCCACTAAGTCCAAAGCAGCAAAATATCATTTAGGAGCCCCTACCAAATCTGACAGCAGTATTCCGTATACAACTGAATTTGTGATGTATAAATGTATGAAGTGCCGTCGTACTCTACCACTGATACCTAAACTCATTTTAAATTTAGGTCGGAGTAAATCTCTACCTATAAAAACTTAAGGCATCAAGTACATTCGACGGTCATATTCTAGACAGTAGGAGCCATAGTGCAGCTGTACTGGGTACATCCCCACAGCACCGCAGTCTCTGTTCAGTTTTTGTTTTTTTGTGTGAAAAACGTGGCAAACGAGCAGGAGGCTCGCGTGATGGTGCTTGATCACCGCCGTCCATGGACACTTACAACACCTTAGGGCTTACAAATGCGTTGCCAGCCTTTTAGGAAAGAGTATGCTCTCTGCTTGAAGGTTTCCAGGTCGTAACGATTGTGAAACAAAAGTATCGTCTCCTGAAAATCACGCCCGGAGTAGTCTAAATACACCACATTCGTAGGGTATCAAATCTATGTCTGCGGCAAAAAAGTAAGTGCAGCTTATAAGACTCCAAGTAAAGGTGACAAAATTTACTAACAGAGTAGTCTGACCAGAGTAGAGTGACCTGGTGATTGTCCAAGCATGGGATCCTATCAACCGACACAATACGACGGGGTCACCCTGGGAGTATGCATTCTCGGTAGGAAGATAATTAATGATATTATAGTTTCTGCAGTCTTAACAAGCGAAGGAATGAAAAATTATTTATATATGATGACATGTACTTATATATCTTTTTAAACAATAATATATTGTATAATACTTATGTAGTCAGTAGTAAGTTCATGGCGCGAAAATTGATTGAATTTTTTTATGAGACAGTTGATTTATGTCGGATTTTAAATTTTTCAAACGAAGGAAGATACTTTATTTGACAAAAAAAGTAAACCAAGATGATTTACTTGCGTTTATATAAGTTTATGGGAATACGAATTCATTATGCTGTCATTTAACCCTTAAATTTTAAATGTCAGTTATAGCTTTTGTTATTTATTTAAAAAAAAACTATTAGTTAGAAACCATCTCGCTGTATTTAGTGGTTCCCACGAGGACACAAATACCCAGAATATATTAAATGCGTACGAATGCACTTCTGCATCGTTACATAAATATGAGCACACACGCATACTCCATACCGAGGCAAAGCCCATTATCTGTTAGGTAAATTACAAGTTTAGATATTTTAAAATATTATAAAAGAAAAAAGAGGTCAAAAATCTTGCCACCGTCCAATGTAAGTAATGAGCTATTGTTATAAAATTTATTAACATTTTCTCAGGCACTATAATTACATACATCCTTTGTAATTCCAAAAGTGATTTCATTATGATTGTTTCACCGAAATTTAATCCTATAATGATGTCCTGAATAATTCGCCAAAAAATGAAACCTTTATGCACATCAATTTGACACACCAGTATGACACACAACTTAAACATTTTCTCCGCTTTATCTTTGAGTGTTTTTAGGATTTATTTTGCTTAAAGCATTGAATTTAGTAGCACGATAACGTGGGACTAAATGTAACACGGTATTAATCGGCCTTATTCGATTTGCCGATAAGCTTGAATACTTATACAGTTATCGTTGGCAGCAGATGAGGCAATTTTTATGTCAACTGAAAGAAGCAACCTAAACAAAACACCTTGTCAAAACGGCGTTAGAGTAATCTTTCCTTTTACAATAGTTGTCATTCAATACGTTATAATGACTGGAAAATACCATCCGCATTTGTGTCAATGGAAAGACTAATTGCTAGTTCCTAGTCAAGTGACAATTATTTTCAACAAATAATTTGAGAGGATTTTAAATTTTATCGTACATAAAGTTTCCAATAACACTAGAAAATGTGATATTTTCCGATTTGCCTCAACCAAAATATTATTTTTTTCAAACCCGTATAATATCAAGTTCATGATGGATGTTTATTACAAAATTTTATTATACTTTCAGTTTTTAAAATTATAATTAACTAGCTGCTGCCCGCGACTTGTATCTTGTATTAACTGATGTTTGGTCTTATATAGTAATAATTTGTGTCTTAAGGGCATTTTACTTTTAGCGTTAGTTAAATTGTGTAGCCGGCCGGAGACGAACGCGGCTTTATTGCGAACGTTGTTAATGTGCGTATTAAATGACATACGCGAGTCGAAAGTGACTCCTAAGTATTTGACCTTTTTCTCCCAGAGGAGCGGTTGGCCATAAAGGGATATTTGCCCCAACTTTCTGCATTGACGAGGGCCATTATAAAGATGTGACGGGTAAGTACTTCGTGTGAAGTGAATCGCCACACTCTTTGGGATTTATTTCTATTCTCCATTTGCGGAACCAGTCGCCGAGGCGGTCGGCGGCGCTTTGGAGTCGAGTGGTTAGTTGTCTAAGGTTGCGGTCTGAATAAAAGAGCGCCGTGTCATCCGCGAAAAGCGCGAGATTGACGTGGGGGTCTTTAGGTATATCGCTCGTGTAGAGCGTAAAGAGCAAAGGTGAGAGGCAGGAGCCTTGTGGTACGCCAGCCGTGAGGCGGCGGCTTGTGGAGAGGGTGCCTTCAACTCGATATCGAAAAGAGCGGTTTGACAGGAAGGCCCGGATGGTGTGTACGAGCCTATCTGGCACTTTGAGTGTGTACAGCTTGTAAAGCAAGCCGTTGTGCCAGACCTTGTCGAATGCTTTTGCGACATCGAAGAAAAGAGCCCCTGTACTAATTTGTTTAGGGTGATTTAGGCCTTTTAGGATATGTTCCGTTAGGCGGAATAGTTGATCGAGACAGGAATGTCTAGCTCGAAAGCCGAATTGTTCCGCCGGCAGAAGGCCGTTGGTAAACACGTGCTCATTGAGCCTGTTTAATAAAAGCCGCTCGTAGAGCTTCCCCAGGCAACTGAGGAGGCTGATGGGACGATAACTAGAGGGCTGGTTGGCTGGGTTATTCATTTTTTATTTATTCTGCCCGCGACTACGTCTGCGTAGATTAGGCTGAAGGCGTAAGATTCAGACAGAAAGACAGATATACATAAAATATGTATGATATGTATAAATTATAGCCTATGTCTTATTCTGATGTACCCTATAATATTGTAAAGTTTCATTAAAATCCATTCAGTAGTATTGGCGTGAAAGAGTAACAAACATCAATCCATACATACAAACTTTCGCGTTTATAATATTAGTAAGGAAAGGATGCTTTATTGTAATTTTACATTGCTAATAATATAATAAAACCAATTACAAATCGAACATCAAAACACCGGAGATATTGAGAAGTTTGTGAACGCGTTGATGTCTTTCGTAAACCCAACTACACGTGGAAAAAAATCGCCTGGGTTGACCTGAGTCGTTGATCATTTATTAAGAAAATATGTACATTGTTACAAGTTTGGTACATATTGATTTCACCAACTATACAGCCTTACACACGTGATTGATTTTTCGGTACAAAAGAAAAATAACTCTAAGTTATTTTTCTTTTGTACCGAAAAAAACTGACAAAATTTTAAAGTAGCACATTATTATGCAAATGTTTGCACTATTGTATACATTTAAACGAAACATCGACTGTCAGCTTACTACGCGACGCCATGATGTAACTTGTTGGTTAATCTACTATCCATTCATATGTCGATCGGTCAGTCGGAATTAGTTTAGTTATAGTGCAAGTGACGCTCTGAGCATTCTACGTGCGGCGTACGAGCGCACACATCGGGGAATTCATATATATAAGGAGATCTTACGAAACCGTTAGCACATTCGGACTAAAGCCAGTCCAGGAAGTCACCTGTGTCTTCGGCCACACGGCGACGAAAACAAGATGCTGTTTATCCCGGTAAATATATATTTTTAAAAGCGAAAAAAGCATTTGAATTTATGGTAGAGTCATAAGTACAATGTTTAGATGTGACCTGTGACCTCTATGGTTACAAGACATCTTATAAGCTTGCTTTTGCAGAAATTTACGCCTAGTGCATAAAATTATTAACAGAATGGGATTGTGAACGTCATTAGAGTTCTAAGTAATATTGACCTTTTACATTTTAAATCAAGATCCATTCTTATTTTGTTTTTGTTTAAATAAAAGGTACCAATATTATACTTTTTAATTGAGTATATTCAATCTCAATTTTATTAAAACAATAAATGTTAAACACTTGATTTTAATTTGCCAATAAATAAAAAAAATCTTCTCCATATTCAAATGACTTCTAAAATTTTTCAGACTGCTTGTGTTTCGATGCTGATAGCCACATCAGTCTGCAGTCCAATGATTGACAGACAACTAAGACCACAGGTGATAAGATATGACCTGGAAACGGATAACATGCCGAACTCGTACAAATTCTCGTAAGTACTTTGTAATTTTTTTACAATTCACCATCAACTTGTCGTTTGATGATGTTATAGATTCCATTGAATAGCGTTCTTACGATTTTTTTTGCTTGTTTAAAAGCATTGCCCTTACTTTAGGATAACATAATCCTGTGTTGTAAGGACGTCTTACAAACATAAATTTCACGTGGACAAACACCCAGATGCGTTAGAACTATCTGTGGGTCTCACAAATAGTTGTTCCGTGTGGGAATCGAACCAACGACCCCCGACGCCGAAGCCAATACCTTGGCTACTGCGCCACAAAATCATCTTCATTTGTTTAATAAAGCGATTTTACGACATTTTGCATTTTAAATTTAGAATAAACTTTAAAGCGTGGTTAAATATAGAGTGGGTTTATTAAGGATTGCAATATTCGCGAGTTCACAAAGTATCATAACTTAAGTTACACTTCTGATATTTTTATTAAAACTTGTTTTCATTACATGTTTACTCAATTTTTACTCTCTTCGCGATCCCTTTATAGCCTAATGTCATTTTTTTTGCCCCTCTTTTTATAAAATTGTCACATTTATCCGCCGTATAAAATATCCTAAATTTCGTAAATAATATCGTCGGTGAATGTTGTCAGCATGGATCGAGACCAGAAAAGTAAAAAAAAGTCCTAAAAACGACAATCGAGTTACTCGAATTATAAAAAGGATCGTATTTCAAAAATAATTTGGAGGGAAACAATCTAAACAATCAAATCAGTCAGTATATTTTAATCTAATAACTTTGGCGCTGCTTTTATTATTCCAATGTTTATCAGATGATAGCCATTAACATATTTATACGATAATTACCTACGAGTTGTCTAAAATAAAATAACTTATCGAAGAATTTTTTTTTTCGCATTCTTTCGGCGCGTATTCAATCAACCTGCCCTCCCACGTATCTGAGTTTGGTATCATTACACTCGTACTATTAACCTTGCTCTTAGTTTTCAGAGCCTTAATGTTTTTTTTTTATTATTTACAATTTCACTGTAATAAAAAAAACACAACAACGAGAGTTTTAATATTGATTCAGTGCAGATTTCCTTTTTCAAACTTCTAAGAAAAAAGGACGAGTTGCTCAGTTCGGTTGTATTAAATACATTGTTTTTTCGTTTTTTACGCTTACCTCTGAACCGTAATTCCGTAATTTACGAACACAGTTTCAAAAATTTTTTTTGCATTGGTTTTGGCTTAGCCCTTATGTGGCCCATATTAATTTCATTGGTACTGGAACTCAGACTCCGGAGCTACATGAGAGAACTGCTCAACATCAAAGAGAAAATGAGAGATATATAGTGCATGACATATTGGAAGTCGGTTTTGATTTTTCTTAATTAAAATTCGTATTGATAACGCGATGGTTTATGTATTTTATTGTACATATTGTGTTAATTACTTGAAGTGCACTACCTGTTACGTTATTCAGCGTTTTGGAATAAATATTACATATATATATATATATATATGAACAAAAATACAATTTACTAGAAAAAAAAGTTATATATAAAGTATAAAGTTATATAGTTGTGAGTAGATTCTGGGTGTACCTCACAAATGCTACAACAATGAAGTATTACATTTTTACAATAGCATAAATGTGCCTCTAACAGATTAAAAACCTTAAACAGGTGACTATGCCTGAATTTAAAAGTAAACAGAAGAGTTAAACGGAGAGAAAGGTAAACGGATAATATTATTAACTAAATTATTGTAATAGTGTATATGAAAAATAAATTGTTTGTACGAAAATAAATCTTCGCTGCAATATTCTTCATTCTTTAAAGAATGCTGCAATATTAAACAATACTACAAAATGTTACATAACTTTTTTTATTGTTAGATAACAATAAAACCGGTATTTAAAGTCGCCAACAAATTTATACCAAAAAAAACTGATTTAAACATTTAAAAATTTCTACACCATACTAAAACATTTAAAAAAAATTCCAGACTATAAAGCACTATTAATTTAAAACGATTTACGATCGGGAAATAAAGATATTCATGGGAATCAGAATATTTTTCAAATAAAACTTCTGAACATAACAAAAAACATGATATACGAAGGAAAAACCTCAATTGAAGGTTTAAATCTGATAAACGTAAGTTATATTCCGCAGATGAGAACGTTGAACTGTGACTAATATAACAATACCTTTTTATAAGTATATATCTAAAGATACCGAAAAACACATTTTTGCTTTATGAACACACAGTAAAATGGCTTTTTTATTATAATTAATCAGTCATGGCACCAGATCCGGCTGACTAAATCTAGCGAACAAATTATGAGCATAAAAAACTATGATATGTGGAAAAAAGGAAAGCAAACATACAATGAATAGTAATAATAAAATGCACACATAGACCTACAAATCAATGATTTATATCCAAACACAAAGGAATGCCATATTAATGTAAATTTACCAACAAATTGTTATTACGTGAGCGAGCGCAGCCCGATTAACTCAATACGTGACCTAAAGCAGTGATAGCTGACATTGTTTTTGCGAATGTTAAACCGGAATAATACATCCAATTTAATGTCATTGTTAGGTTGTTGTTAAATTCTCAAGTGCTTCCGTTTCATACAGAGCTTCTCTTATCGAAATATTTATATGTGAATGGCGATTGCACTTAATTTTATTCAAAAATCTTTAATTAAGGCCCACAATTCAGTCAAATATCATCCATACCATCTCGATATCCAACGTTCTACAACAGCGCGATTTTCAAGGCATTTCCTAACTCGTACAATCATTTTGTGGAATCAGCTGCCGCATATCCGGCCATCTTTCCTAATCGTTACGACCTGGGAACCTGCAAGAAGAGAGCAAACTCTTTCCTTCTCCTGCTCGTTTGCCCCTTTTCTCCATAAAATATCATATAACTTTAAAGCTTTACTTAGAAACAAGAATATTTTGCAGGTTGTATTACAACCACAAAACCGTTCATGATTATTTTCATTTCCAAAGGCTTAAGGTACCTACATTATGTGACAATGTAGGCATAAAAAGTAGAACGAATGACACACAAAAAGTAGCGTACGAATAATGTGTTACGCCTCCTTCAAGTTGAACGGCCGTTTGCGGTTTGGATACCCTTATTACCATCCGTTACTTTAATATATGAGCATTCACTAAACACATGTTTCTATACCCAGGAAATACTAAAAACAAATTTGAAGTATCATTTTCGAGGTACATCAACTAAATGTATGGCACTACGTAATTTTAAAATGTACATAAGAAACCATTGTAACATAACATTGCCCGCAAAATTATTTATGCGATTATTTATTAATTCAAAGATGCATTTCTCTTGCCGTGTAAGCCGAACTTCAAATAAACCGATGATTTTTTAAATTTACTACATTTACCTTTCCATAAATATGTATTTAGTTTAACTAAAGTTTCATCGCGATCATGCTCATTGTTATCCGAATCATCAATTTATTGAATCCTTTGTTAAAAGTTGGTGTGAGCTTAAAATGATATCGTTTAGAGATTGATTTATTTTCCATTATTTCGAAATGCAAACCTGGAAAACACGATTCGTGCATAATACTAACGCATAATACTTTTTATGAATTTAAAGATGGTAAGTGCTCATCGCGAATTCGTTTATCTATTTATTTTATCCAGTAATTGAATTCCTAATGAATGCAATTTTTTCAAAATTGGAAATCAAACTATTTGAAGTACTTACATACAAAATCTGTATATTTTACTATCAATTCTAATGATATAAATTTTATTGCGATTCTTTATGAGTTTAATGACTTGCTTATAAATGTAAGCAAAAATCATACGCATTGCATGTAATACGAAAAGGCGATTTCCTGAAGTCGCGATAAAGATAAAAGCATAAACAAATGTGTGTCGACCAAATCGTTTTAAGAGTTTGGTTTAAAAGGATAAGCACATTAAGCTCTATACAGTTCCTGCTCTACATTTAAATTTCACAATTTGTGTAACATCCAAGTTAATACTGATTAGTTAAGATTTTATTAAGTTTTCATGTTTTTTAACAAATACTTTTAAAATAATTAGTGATGATAAATAAAACATGATTTTAAGTAAGTAATTAAATTCTAAATAATTAATGATTAAGTACCAGTATAAGTTTTAATATTTATAATATCAAAACTTTTACCAGTAATGGTTTAACTCGAAAACAATATGCCATTGAGATCAGTCAAATAGGGGTTATTTAATTACAGTATGTATTGTAATTAAATACCCCATAAGAAGACTAAAGCATATTTCATAAAGAATAGAATTTTTTTTTGGCAAATGCTAAAATTGTTTAGATTTTACACAGTTTTACACTTGGCCGTTTTAGTTATCAATATATTCATAACAAAGATAATCCATAACAGAATATTAACACGTTAAAATTATAAATATAACTGACATGCCAATATATACGTACAGATAATCAAAGTCAATACCCGCTCTCACTTCGTTTTTACAGCTACTGAGTAGAGAAAGCCAATGCTATCTCATCATTATTTGGATCAATCACTATTTTGCCACATTGTATTCTTGTACCTAAAATTACGTACCTCCTTCGCTCGAGTGATGCAGTGACTTTTGGACGAAATTGATTAAAATTAAAAAATCTAAATTTATCTCTTATTGAATTTAGCTGGACTCAAGCTACGCTGCCAATTCGTTTTGGTGGTATCGGTGTAACGAAAATTTCTAGTGTCGCTCTACCTGCCTTCCTCGGAAGCAAGGATGCGTAGCGTAAATAATATATGTAAATAATATCCTTAATCACAATTCAGAATTTTCCTATGGCGAAGAGGCAAGGATGTCCTGGCTGTCTATCTGCTCCAACGAAAATATCCCACTGGAACTAAACCTACAAAAACAGTGGGATGTTCCTTTGGTGCGGAGAGTGCAGAAAGATACGTTTCAATCTTTAAAAAGTAATTTAGAGCGTGCCTGTTTCCTAGGAGTTCATCTAAAAAATCGAGTTATTGGCTTCACGATTTACCATCAAGTAGCATTACTTGACGATGGAAGCTTACGCATTGCTGTAGGAATCTGCCTGGGGCCACCGATTTGTCAACCACACCAATACCCTTGTGGTGTCAGTGTAGACAAATTTGATCTACACGGGCTTTCTTGTCAAAAAAGTTCTGGCCGCTTTTCCCGCCACGGTTCCCTAAACGACCACATCCGTAGGTCTCTTGTTTCCAATTCTTGGATCTTGGTCCAATGTTCCATCTATTTAAGAGACTTGTGGCATTTTTCGCAACGATGGTAAGAGCTTGGGAGGGAGGCATAGCCCTTGTTTGAATGACTGACGCCTCTTGTGTAGACACTTTGGCTGCCTCTCACCTAAGGGGTACTTCGGTCAGGGCCGGGGCGGCATCGGAGGCAGCTGAAGTAAGTAAATGACGCAAATGAGTCTTCATGTTTAGAATATGTATTTGTGCCATTTGCTGTTGAAACTTTAGGTCCGTGGGGTCCCGCGCATCAATGTATTTTAAAAGTTTATGTCATAGGCATAACGTTGCGGCTGCTGACAAGAGAGCTGGTTCTTTTCTCGCTCAAAGGTTAAGCATAACTATTCAGCGAGGAAATGCAGCTAGCGTTCTTGTCGCCATGCCGCGTGGATTAGTTTATTAGATAATATGTAATTTTAGATAGATAAAATCTTCTAAATATTTGAACCAAATAAAAAAAAAAAATTTTCATTGGCAATTTCATTTCTAAAAACTTTCAGTGTGACCCTAGAATGTAGGTTAGAGAACTGAGTTCAACGTGCATTTATTGTAGTGTATTTATACAAATCTCACTGTATTTTGAAAATAGACGCGTTGTTTTAATTAATGCCTATAATACAAGTAAATGTTATTTCTTTATACACCTCGTATTTCTAAAAGAAGGCATGGAGATCTTTGGAACAAATTATAGTAATTCGTAATTTTTTTTTTCTATTTTAAAATATGGATAATGTGCAAAATTAGTTGAATTATCCACAATCAGTTACATGAAAAATCTAAAAACTAAGTTAAGGTACATGCGCTAGATGATTAATTAATCAAAAAATTACATTCATTACAATAAGGTTAGTTAAACATCAACGAAATTTTTTAAATTTATGCTCTTATAAGATCTTATAAGATCTTCAAAACATAAATTTAAAAAATTTCGTTGATTTTTAACTAACCTTACTGTAATAGATGTATTATGTCTATTGCGCAAGGCAAAAATAATATGATTGAAATAGTGACAGCTAATGCACATAATGTTATATGTTTATCGAATATCGACTATTATACCATAATTACATTGTAAATTACTAATAAACTGAAAATCACAGTTAAAAAGAAGATAATTAGTACTTCTACAAATTCTTTTATAACTCTGCAATCAGCAATGCTGAAATTCAATTTCCAGGTTTGATTCGATAACATACTATTTTAGTTGACACCACTCATATTTTCACAACGTTGGATGTTTTGCGTACCCGCCTATAGGAAGGATCTGCTGATAAAATTTATTTTTAATGTTACAAAATATTTATTAATGTAATAAGTAAAATATTATAAATTAAAAAAAATATTTACTACAGCATAATCATTCTCTGTGCAAGGCATAAACATACTAAACCATATAGTGTAAAAGCAGCAGACTAGATGGCGCCAATCATTGCTAAAATGCAATAAAAACGAAGAAAATAAAACGTCGAGATTTGCGCGCGTTGAAGTTATCAACCGCTTAAAGTTATAGTGCTTAGAACATCTGGGCTGTTTACGCGGAATATGCAGGTTCGAATCCAGGCAACGGCAAAAAACAATTTATCTAGACATATATATTTATATGTCGTAGGACCACGCAACAGTGACTTCTGTTAAGATTTGTTGTTTAAGTTGACGGGGTAAGTAACACGACCTCACACAAGACCGGCGTGAAGTAGAGTGCTACACTTCTACGTTTCGTCTTGTGGAGTGAGGTATCCGGGGCCCACTTTATTAAAAGGTGTCAACGCATCTGCAACCTTACGGGTGTTGCAAATATCAATGGGCGGTGGTTATCACTTAAAACCAGTTGAACCGCAAGCTCGCATGTCACCTTCTCAAATAAAAAAAAATTGAATATATTACTGACTAAGCAAAATCAGTGATGTTACGAGACACGGCCGAGACTTAACGACTAGAAATACATTAAATTCGTAGCTGTTTATTTATTTTCATATAGATCAACTGAGAAATGGAATAAAAAAGCCTAGTTAGAATAGACAACAAAGAATAAACCTGGATGTATCATAGATATACGTACGTTGTATCGTACGCTTTTAGTCCTCAGCATTAGTTATCAGTTGAATGACTTAAAAAAAAGATGTTTACATCATTTGCTTGATGTCTGTTTTATATTGGTAAACTATACTTAAATAATGTTGCCTATTTTGGACTGACCAATTTTAACCAGTGATCAGCTTGATCACTGATTAAAATTGGTGAAAGTAATTGTAAAAGTTGTTTATTCGTCCCAAAGCGCACGGTTTATTTACAGTTACAATATAAATGTCCTCATGATATCCGATCGACGGCGAAAGTGGCGACGAAGGTTAATGACACGTCTTGTCTATTTCGTGTGAATAAATTAATTATATGTTTGACGAATGAATTTGGCGGGTAGTGTCCTAGAGTGATTATCACTTAATTAACACACCGTAAAGCTTAACTAGAGAAACAGCCAACCAATAACTTAACTTTAATTTTAATTTTATACTTGATTTTGTCTTATTAAACTTTGTGAGATTTTAAATGACTATAAGATGTTGCCCGAAAGTGTTAAGGAAATAATATCTGATAATACATTGTTTAGATAGTAGGATCCTTACAGCATTTGAAAATTTTCTTTTGCTATTATTGCATCGGACGAACATACAAGAAGTTAATAACTTTCATTATATTGCTATCTCCAATTGGATTCCAGTTATGACTCCAGTGATGGAACCTCGAGGTCGGAGCAAGGAGCCATTCAGAACCCAGGGACGCCAGATGCCGCCCTCGATGTCCTTGGTACTGTCCGCTGGTACGACGACAAGGGGCAACTGTTCGAAATGACGTACAAGGCAGGCAAACGGGGATACCGAACGAGTATAAAGCAAATTTCGTAGTTGCGCCACAAGAATTTAGGAACCTTGAATGGAAATGAATTTACGAGACTGCGAATTACTATTTATTTTAATAGATTAATTATTATTGCAGACGTGCAATTGCTTATTTATTTATTTATTAAAAATGTTTGAATGAATGTAAATAAAAGTATGTTTATTTAAGGCTTAATTTTATTTAAAGTAAACAACGGTGGTATTGGCAAAATTGTATAATTTTCATTAATGGTCTTAATAAATAGATAGCCATATCTATCCCATGTTCAATCACAAGTTTAGAGCAAAATTTTCTAGTTTCCGACCGAATGTTAGGTTTCGGTTACGGTCGAGGCAAATAGACTAGTTTCGGTTTTGGCGCCAAATCTGCCGAAACTACGACCGAAACCAAAACTGCATTCGGGAATTCTCGCGCTATGATCGGTTATGATTAGCGCGTTAAATTCCATGCAAGCAAGCGACGAAGACTAGTGACTAGGGTCGTTGAAGGTTTTTTCGTCAACGTTTATTCATGTTCGTCGACTACATAATTTCGTGAACTAGCTGATGTGATGCTATCAATTTGGATGAATGAACGGATTTTCTTTAACGCTGCGGCGTTCAAGAAGTCTAAATCCTCTGACAGATGACTAATTAATAAAAACACTATACAATTACTAATAAATAAATTTACAAATAAAGACACCTTAAGCATCAAGTAAAAAACTGATAATATTTATGATAAAATAATCTCTGACCGTGACCGATACGTGCAACGTTCGCAAATTGTCGCACAAAAATTTAAGGAAGCGAAACTTCTTTGATAAAAGTGGCTCTGAAATTACTGTCGGCTTTTACATTTTTGTTTTTGTTTACTGAAAGTCATAGAAAATGACTAATAACTTTAGAAGTTAATTTGTTCTTAATATAAAAGTGATTTATTTTGTTTTGTTTATTATTTAAATGTTTAGTCTGTCCCTATTGTGATATTAGGTAACAACTTAAAAAGGTAATTTTATGTTTAATATTTAAAATAAACATGAATAATATTCAAAGGAAGAATCTTACTACTCAAATAAACCCATTTTAAGTCTTTTTAAGCCGCAATTAATATTTTTTTCTTAAATGGGGTTGTTATGTTGATGATCATACCATTAAGTGAAAATGTCGAAGATTGCATAACTATATGATAAAAAGATATTTTTTTTCCCTCTAAACATGATCCTTTTATAGAAGTTTCGGTTTTTGTTTCGGTTTCGGCCTAAACTGAGATTGTTGCGGAAATTCGGTTTCGGTTTCGGTCGTAAAAACCAGTTTCGGTTGGACACTAAAATTTTCATTAAAAAAAATTCTCAGACCATTGGTGCATAAAATTACATGATGCATAAATAATGTTTTGAACAGCCCACAAAACACTTATATAATTATTACCAAAAATGCCTATCGAAACTTTAGCTTGATAAAAAAGCTGCTGTCTTATAACTCTGTCTTATAATTAACTCAAATTCTCAGTAATTACACAAATGTGTTAGTGCTAAAATATTGTTAATGCACAAACTATAATATTCATTGTTTTATTTATAAAAAGACCCAATGTTGAAATAATATCAATTATTAATTATCTTAATTTGTAACTAATGTAAATTTTAAATATTCCTATATTTTACATAAGTCAATATATGTTAACCGAATTTTTGTCTAAATTGAATAGAAACTTGGCATAAACCACCGTGTTCCCTGTTCGTTTTCTATTTAATTAGTTTTGCCTATAATGTACTTAATTTAAGAATCAATTTATTTTATCAGTAGTTTTTGTAACCACCTATGAGCGTTACTTTAATAATTTTGGGATTGTGTCAGCCATATTGTCCATGCTATATTCAATCACTTTATCAATGTTATCACCTTCGTAACATTCAACACCGTTAGCATTTATTTAGGCAAATTGCTGTAACTTCAGCAAATACAATACGTATTTAAGTTGGCACCCCGTCATTTTGAATCAGTTCCAGTCACACAGCCTACGGTCGATCTTTGTAAAATGTTCATGGTAAGTATATATAATATTATTTGGCGACTATTTTACTGTGAACATAAATTAGTATACTATTTTTAATAAAACCCAACGTTACATAAAAAAGTTATATGAATAAAAGTTTTAAATTACTGAAACCTTCAAGACAATAAAACTTCTTAGCTTAAAGATTTAAATGTGTGGTTTCATACCTTAAATTTCACCATAATTAAATGGGTAAAAGTCAAATCCATTTTAAATTTTTACCAATATTAGTTGACCCTACCAATCGTATTGACCTCTTATACTCGGAAAATAGGATAAAGTAAGTTGAAATATTTTGGAATCCCTTTTCAATTATTATTAACATGAAAAAATAAAACTCGGGCTTTTACGAAGCCAGAATTCTCTATCACTTGGTCGAATAACCCGTTACAAGTTCGTTACTTAATTTCCTATCCGTACGACAGTCTTGTGAAGAATTTAAATTTTGGAAGATAAAAACCAATGATGTAAAAGTAGAGGTATTTCATCAAGTCTTCAAAGGTAGGATAGAAAAATTCAAACACTTTACAACGCTTATGGTCACGGGAGAGACTATTGTTGTTCTGTCGATTCATTAATTAAACAATATTCGCTTTTTCATTATTTTGATTATTATAGAATTTACTGATCTAAATATTTATTGACAAAGGACGTTAATGGGGAATACACTAAGGTTTAATAACTGTGTTCCCGTAACCTTCATAGGAATAAAGCGATTTTATTTATTATACCTAAGCGGTAAGACTTAAGGCATGCCTTACATTTTACAGAAATACGCCATTTTGAGCTTGGCCGTTGCAGCCATAGTCACAGCAGATGCTTCAGATAAGCCACAAGTTGAAATACTTACAGAAAAAAATCTCGTCAGCGAAACAGGATATGATTTCGAGTGAGTTTCTTGAACGTTTCTTTTTTATCAACAGATCATGTTTAAAAAAATAGAGATCTAAACAGTAGCACACTTATATTAGCTTAGCTTATATTATCTTAAAATGGTGTTATTAAAAAAAATTAAATACACCAATAATCAATACCCTCCAATAAGAAATCGTTACTTTACTCCCAAAAACTGAAATACGCTAATATATTAAAAATCGCCACGCCACGTTTAATTGCAGCATCATTGCTTTTGATTTTTTTTAAACAATGAAATTTAAAAAAGTATACGGTACAGTAATACTTGAATTGGAATATTAAACATCAAAGTTACGAATTTTAAGCTAAACCATTCTGCCTTTGCTTTGTCATATTAGTACTAATTTTTAACTTATATCACTGTTCATATTCTCGATATTTTTAATGATAACTTATCTCTTCATAGAGTGTTAAAAGCTAGTAAGCTTAGTAAACGTTAAATTGTAACCCTAAAAAAGAAAGACATAGTGGTACTTAGTCGTAGTTGTTTAAATTTTTTATTTCCTCCGTCTTTCTTTTCGATCAGAAATTAGCAATCCTTACTCGAACCAAGTATTTTTTGGTTAAATATTCCGAAGCCTACATATAACTTATCATAGCTTACATTATAAAGTGCCTAAATGATATTTATTATTTTTTAAACCAAATATTATTAATCAAAACATACTTAATATTACAAATAATGTTATTATAAAATATTCTAAAACGTTTCAGATTTAAAACAAGTGATGGTGTCTCGCGTAAAGAAGAGGGCCAGCTTATAACGGTGGGAGACCAACAAGGCATCGCAGTGAAAGGGTCTTATTCCTACGATGCTCCTGACGGCGAACACTACATAGTCACTTTCACCGCTGATGACAAAGGTTTCAAGCCAATCATTCACACAACTAATGGGCAATAAAATTCTGTGATACGCAATATGATTTTCATTGAAAACATTTAAACAGTAAGTTATATTATGTGAACAATTTATGTTTTGTACATAATTGTAGGAATTATGTCAAAAATTAATCTAAAATCAATTTCAATGCCAAATGAAAATTTGTAAAAACTGCATTAAAGTCGTCGTAAATATACAGTCAAACCAATGATGTCAGTAGGTAATAATTGGCGTAATTATTTTATTTTAGATTTAATAATCATCTATAATACTTCGGCGACATTTAAAATTGACAATTAGTCTTCAAAGTTTAAATGTCTCTTAAAAAATTTATTTAAAGAATATTTCACAGCTAACAGTATTCTCTTAGGTTAAAAATATTAGGACACAAATTTGGGTACTTAATTTCATAATAATAATAATCAAAACGTAATAAAAAAGGCAAATCAAAGACAAAATTAATTATTGTGTAGGAACTTCAAATGCAGCTGCGACCATGATTTGCTTCAAAACTGACATTACTGACGGGGTCAAGTGTTTATGTAAAAAACAAACACTTTTATGCCAATCCCGCTGCAAGACCTATACTGTGCGCGTTAAACGAGCGTTATGTAAGATGTCAACGCATTGTGTATTGTGACAAAGTTGAAATTTCTGTTTGGATTCTTTACAACAATCTTTCTACATCTAAGAACGTTCAATTATTCAAGAGGATTAGTCATTTTTCAAGAGGTAGACACGATTGTTTTTAAAGTTTATTTTATAAAGGGAAAAAATGGATAAGCAATTAATATTTTATTAGAAAACGCCGTGATTTGAATCTTTAAATCATTAAGTAATAAAAATAAAAAAATAAATCGTTTGCGGTAGTCCCTTCATTCGACTTTAGACGATATAATGAATTGTAGACGACAGGTTAAACAACAAATTTCCATGGATAAATATACTTTCAAGCACATTCTTGAAAGTTTCAAGTATATGCTAGATCCAATTAATAATAAATTACTAATTAAGCAAACTAATGTAATAACAGCTTCCTTAAAACAATAATTTTAAACGCATGATATTATCAGATAAAGTAAAAAAAGATAAATAAATACATTATTAAAGATACAAGATCGCTTTAAAAAATATTAATTAAACCATACATTTGTAGGTAAAATCAATTTGTCCCATAACTCGATTAGCTTAAAAAATTTGATACAATACTCATTTGGACACATTTTTTTTATTACGATACAAAACGTTTACTTGATTAAATTTATGGTCTTGAGCTTTTTAAGATGGGTATAACTTTTGTTGTATATCATTTCGTTATGAAGGTTTTATTGCTAAAACGAGAATATTTAACGACTCCCGACAAAGTTAGTCCTCATCATGTCATCTACGAATGATGTCTGAGTTACGTAATTATTTTTAAGCTTAACTTTAACAAAGTTTTACTTTTTCATTAAAAACATAGTCATTGGTCCCTCTATGTAACAGAATGAAAAGACATTTCTTATATTGCTTTGTTATTTATTCCTATCCCTTTATAGGTTCTAAAGTCATGGTAGCTCAGTGTGCGGGCGCTCGTCTTTAATTCAATATACTCGAGCCACCAGAGTTCGATCCCCGGTGCCGGCGCCAATGAAATTATTATTTTAAGTGTTGAATTATCACGTGCCAGCGGTGTAGGAAAAAATCGTAAGGAAACTTGCATATTTTCGAAATAATGATTTAAAAAAATATTTCGAAGATATGTGAAATCCGTCAATCCGCAGTGGGGCCTCGTGGTGGACTATGCCCTGATAGAAGTCCTTTGCCTCCTTTACTTTATATGTTCTACGTTTAATCTACAATTGTTTAAGTATGTGGTTAGGTGAAAAGCCTTAGAATACATACACAATTTTAACGATATTCCTGTTTATTTGCTATGTAGAACAAAATATATGTAAAAGTAAAGTCTATACATGTACCACTGCTGGGCAAAAGGCCTCCTCTGTACAGAGGATATCAGGGCATAGTCCACCACGCAGCCGCACTGCGGATTGACGGACTTCACATATCTTCGAAATATTTTTTGTATTATTATTTCGAAAATATGCAGGTTTCCTCACGATGTTTTCCTTCTCCGCTGCGCACGTGATAAATCAGCACTTAAAATTAACAATTTTATTGGTGCTGGCACCTGGGATCGAACTCGGGTTGCTCGAGTATATTGAATTAAAGGCGAGCGCCCGGACACTGAGCTATCACGGCTCAAAATATATGTAATGATTTAATTTTTTATATGTAAATTCGAGACGTTACAAGAAATTTTCATCGCTTTCAATAAAAAAAAAAAAATACCTATAATTTTTTTTTCGGCCAATTTGGCACAAAGTGCCGAATGTTCTTGTGGGGTTGGTCTGTGTATGAATTTTTAAAAGTATTTAATATTCATATATTGGGAACAAGCTGATGATAGCACCCAACTATCTGCCCTATCGAATGTTTCTTATTTATATACTTCAAAAGTCTCCTGAGACCAGCTTTAAGAAGACTTAGAGACTTTACTCTCAAACAATTTTACACAGTCTTAAATCTTGTAGAGAAATATCTCTACAAAATTTGTAATGATATTGTTATGATATAATCCGATACGAAGTATAATAATACAAAAAAAAAACAATTATAAAAAAAAATCTTATTCGGTGATTGCGATTTAAAAGAAGCATTACAAGATAATCACAAATGTTGTCTGTGGCTATTCTAACCTCTACATTGATAAGTCTCAGGCGTTACGTGTAACAGTCAAGCGCCTCATATATTTATTTCTCTTTTACTAAAGATTTAAGTTGGTTTTGGTAGTTGGGTCGATTTCGACCTTTTATTAAATTTTAACTTTTTTTAATTCTAATATGACATTACCAAACTACTGAGGCATTGTTATTGAATTGAATTAAACAGATCAATTCTATTAATAAGATTTTATATAGAAATCTATTTGTAACAACATTTACATTTCCGTACATATAAGATACTCGCCGGTATGAACCCAAATATCTGGTATTTCTTGTGCTGCTTTTTTGTGTACGCGACTGGCACTTATTACGTATTAGATTATTCAATTATAATCATTCAATCATGACAAAGTATTGAAAATATAACTGATATCAAAAATTTCCTATACACCAAAATAAACAAAAACTGTTATAATTAATACATTTATTTCAAAAACAAAAAAGAACACAAAACAAGCGGTATATAGTACACGAAATATTTACATATTAATTCACGGCGTTTCATTTTGCATTCGCGAAACGTTTGTACTTTGGGTGTCTGTCGTATACGTTAAGCATTTAGACTAGAGTGGATCTAGTTTAAAATATATTTGGTTGTAGCAATAATGCAGATCATCGTCGCGGGCTGGTTTTTTAGGACTGGGCGGGTTTTTGGTCCTGGTCGGGCTTTTCCTCGGTGGGCTGGTAGCCGTTTTTGTCGGCAACGAAGGTGACTTGGATGTGTTGGCCGTCAGGCGCTACATATCTGTAGCTGCCCTTCACAGACAGGCCTTGCTGGTCGGTGTCATTCTTGTACTCTCCTTGTTCTTGCCTCGAAGTGCCGTCGCTGGTTTCGAACCTAGACGAATTTGAATATAACATTTTTGAGCTGTAATATACATGATAAAAAACCCCAGTGTGGTAAGCACCGTCTTGCTGTTGCCACCGCTAGTTAACTGCGTACGTTTAATTATTTCCTGTATTTAGAGAAATGTCTGCGCAAAAAAAAATGTCAGAGGAATCATTACAAATTTTGGGTAACATTCAAATTCAGACCTGCTGAGTCTATGACGGTAAAACACTGAAACATGGTGACCGACTCCGCAAATTTGAAATTATCAGTTCATTACAAATTAGATATTTATGACAACGACTTACAGAAAAAGAAATATTACGACACATCTATTACCATGAAAGATGTTTTGCATCAAATGTCATATTTAGCCTATGCTTAAGTCACCAGTGGACCAGTCACCGTTTATTCTCTAGCACAAACGATCGTAAAGTATACTTACTCAATGACACTCCGCCGCTAAATACTACGACCTTACAAATAAAACTGCCAATGCGCTAGCCACGAACTTAAATACTAAACACTTAACTTAGGACTCAATAGCAAGTATTATGCAAGATTTCTTTTAAAGTTACAACGTCAAGGAAATCAATTATTTTTTACATGAAAATAAAACTTATAGAAGCAGTGTAAGTTTTATTGTATAAAAAAAGCTACGTGAATTGAAAATAACGTTGTATTTTCCTTTTAATTTCAAAGTAATTAATTACTTCCAAAAATCTCACGAAAGATCGTCACTTAAAGCATAAGATACAGTTAACCTTACGGTCAATCATCTACAGTGTATTCTCCAAACATTACTATTAATTGAAAAGTGAAATATTAATAGTTGGCACTTCAGATTAAAAACTATAAATAAAACCTATCACCATTAAACATAGAATTTACTAACTCGAAGTTGTATCCATTAACGTCGACTTCAGAGTCTTGCTTCACGATTTCAACAGGCTGCTTTGCCTTGTCGCCCTCTTGTGGTAGAGCGCACACCAAAGCCAGAGCGGCCAAAGCGAAAAAGGTCTGGAACAGAAGAAATGCAATCTATAATTATAGTATAAAGCAAAAGGTCTCCTCTGTACAGGGTATTAGGGCATAACCCACCATGCGCATCCTCTGCGGATTAACGGACTTCACATATGTTAGAAAAAAAAATTTTCATTATTTCGAATATACGGGTTTCCTCACGAAGTTTTCCTTCACTCTTCTCTATTGTAAAGTACAAAAGGTAAATACGAATAGAAGAAAGCATTTTATTGAATAATGATAAAGACAACATTTTGTAATCGCAGAAACAATTTAGAATAACATTATACATGTTATTAAAGGTTTTACTTTACAAAAACAGGTAAATATGATTTAATATTCATAATATTTTTCATTATTTATATATTTTATTTGCCATGTTAACTCTGTGAACCTGATAACATCTAGTAATTTAAATAAAGTATTTTTATAAGACCAGTGTATATAACTTTTTATTTTAAATGTGTCTTGCCTTTTCATTTTTTATTGACTAAAAAGTAAAAAAAACCTAATGTGTCAACTTATATGTAAAAAAATTACTTACTATTTTCATCATTTTGTTTGAGGAGGGTGCTGGAGGAACGGATGTCGGTGGATGGACGAGACCTGAACGGTTATGCCTTGAAGCGAGTACAGTGAGCTATAAATATGGAGTCGAAGTATCGACAAGGCAATATTACGAAGTATCATTGGCAAGCGAGGTGTTAATCACAATCATGTAAACATTTTATTTAAGGTGATCCACGAAAACCTTACAGGATTTGTCAATAGTGTAAATTGTTTGCATGCAGTCGAGCCTTGCGTGTATCACTTAACCTACATTTTTTCCGTCGAAATTTTCTACGTCACGATGTTATATAGAGAAAAAAAATACAAAAGTATAAAGTTAAAAAAGGGAAAATAACTTAATTTAGTTATTTTATTATATTGTAATTAAAGAAAAATGCAAACATAGTATTTTGGATAAGCACTTGGTAACGTTTTTAGTTTTAAATTACGTTTTTTTTATGTGATTAAGCGGCAAATGAGCTGGGGATTCACCTGATGTTAAGTGTTGCCACCTTTAAATAAAGTGGGCCACGGCTACCTCACTCAACAGATGAAAAACAGAAGTGTAACACTTCTTCTTTACGCCGGTCTTCTGTGAGGTCGTGGTGTTATTACTTTTGTGTTATTACCTGGACGTACCTGCCCATTCGTGCAACAGTGAACACTGTTGCGTGGCCCTACCACTAAACTAAAACTACGTGGGAAACATTATAAAATAAGACAAAATACTATTTCACTTGAAATACTTAAACCTATTGCCTGTAGATGCTCCACATCATGTAAAAAATTTAAATGAAAGTTGGCCGGCCATGTAGCAAGACTCCCAGATCAGCGTTGGGCCAGGATAGTGACTCATGGAAAGGCACGGTCAGCAAAAGACTGGCTCGTGAGAAGATGGGATAATAAAATTAAAAATATCGCCGGTCCACATTGGATGGAAGTAGCTCAAAATCGGGGAAATTGAAAAATTTTGTAGGAGGCCTTCATCTGTGAAGACGGGATTCTTGCTCATTAAATATTAATAAGGAAAATAAAAATGAGACTACGATAAGTAAATTTATATAACTAACTAGTAAGTATTGTTTATGTACCTACATGCAAGGAATAATAGGCTTTTTATTTTTATTTTTTATTAATTTACATCAATGTAATGTATAAAACCTAATGAACTAAATAAATTAATCGTCTTAGAATTTTTTTAATGAATTTCCACAATTTTGGTGATCTGGATTAATACTAAAAACATAATTTCATACATACAGATAAACGCTGAATACAGCGTTTATCTGTTTGTATGTTAAGCTTTATGCCACTAAATAAACGAAATAGATTTTAGTTTGACAAAAATATCCGCCTAGAAAAAGTTGTATGGGGGACATTATTGAAGATGATTTTTTCTATGGAGGATGATATTGAAATAGTACGAGTATATTAAAAACTAAGGATGATGAAAGACAGCTTTCTTACGACTGACAAGGAAAGCAATCGTTTAAAAAAACTGTAATGTTTACCACTCGTTGTATGGCAGGAATCTAGATTCAGGTCAATAAATGCTTTCCAAAAGGATTATGATTTCGCTATGAGGGGTAATATGATAACTCGCCATATCTGGAATTTAATACTATAAGGGTCGTATCATTAACATACCTCACCATATTTTAAATACTTTTTTAGCTATTTTAACTTTCAAAGTAAACAGAACATGTTTGATGTGATATATATTTTTTTTTCACTTTATTTTGACTCAATATCGAAAAAGGCACCCTTATTTGCAATCGAAAATTCTCGCGTCAAAATACCAGCTTTTTTTAAAAAGTCGGTGGTTTTTTTTTTCGTTGAATTCTCTGTCTCAATTCTCAGATGGTGTAAAAAATAAACATTATTGAGGTAAATGTTCTCAATAAATGCAAACATAAATACCGTAATCAGTTTAAAGGATCTACATACAACAGTGTACAATTTGCTTGTATATTTGTATATTATGAGACTTTCTAAGACATAAATCTAATTAAAATTATTAAATCAACTTTTATACTGAAAAAAATTTCAGCAGTCACATTTATGTAAATTCTACATAATGATAAAAAAAATGTGATTCGAGTTTTTTTCCTTTCTGTACTGTTCTCCAATATTGCGCGTTTTATTAAACGTTTAACAAAAATGAGTATATCTTAAGAATTTATGAAGTCATGTTTAGAAGTTTGGTTTAATGGTGTTCTCAGTTAAACAGCTTTTTGGTGCTTCCATGATTGTTAAGCTGAATAACTCTCTATATAAACACTATTAAGTTTATAATCTCTTATAATACCGGTGGCTGCACTATGAGAAGACTTACTCTAATCGCGTCAAGAATAGGGTAAAAAAAAATAAAGTAACAGCCTATATATGTCCCACTGCTTGGCAAAAGCCTCCGCTGTAAAGAGGGTATCAAGGCATAATCTACCACGCGATCCCACTGCGGATTGAAGGACTTCAAATATTTTCGAAATATATATATATATATATATATATATATTGTTGTTATTTCGAAAATATGCAGGTTTCTTCAGGATGTTTTCCTTCACCGCCGAGCTCGTGATAAGTCAGCAATTAAATATTAGTTGGTGCTGGCACCGGGGATCGAACTCAGGTTGCTTGAGTAAATTGAATTAAAGGCGAGCGCCCGGATACTGAGCTATCACGGCTCTTAGAATAGTTAATACTAACTGTGGTAGGGCCACGCAGCAGCCTTGGCTGTTGTACCAATGGGCAGGCTCGTCCGGGTAAGTACCACGACGTCACAGAAGACCGGCGTACGGTGGAAGTATTACAAATACTTTTTCGTTTCGTCTAGTGAGTGGGGTAGCCGGGGCCACTGAACAGCTATTATTAAGCCTAATATGAGATCTTTACAATAGAGTAATTCTACACCAATATCCAGATTATAGCAATATACTCTTGTAAAGAATAAGGTAACACAAAAGTAAAATTCAAGAGCAGTGTTGCTATAGTCTATGCTGCTTTAGTCTTTTAAACTAGCTTATAGCAGTTTTTTATACTACATGCTGTATTTTAGTTGTTTTCAATGTCATTTAAAAGCTTAATTTCGATTCTATACAGCCATATACCAGCATTGCTGCATAAAAACAATTTATGCCCTAGTATATCCTTAAATATATATTTAAGCTTTTGTGAATCATTTTTTTTTCTTCTAGCTTTTGATGTCCTGGGCAAAAGATATTTTTTCAGCCTAAATGTTTCTTGAGTTACGCAACCCAAACGTGAACATTCACTGCTTGCTGTATGAGGAAGCTCAAAGTTGCTCAGCGAGTTACAGAATGGGCTAGTTTCGGTATTTCTCACAGTGGATTAAAAAATATTTATAATATTAAAAACCTACTAAATTTCACCACCTCCATCCTGGCTTATGTGGCATGGTGACAAGAATGCGAGCTGCATTTCCGCGGAATAAGTTACCTAACGTTTAATCGAGGAAAGAACAGGTTCTCTCATCACCAGCCGCAACAATTAGTTGAGGGTCTTTTGAGGGTCTTTTTTGTTAAATGTGTTACTATATCGTTTAGTTGTGATGCGAGAAAGTAATATGATAAAGTATTGGTTGTCTGTATTAAGTTTAAGTCGGGGTAAGCTTACATACAAACTAGTTACAACTTCTTTTTATTAGCATTGATGATTTGTCAACGAGCCGACGACAAACAATTCGAGTCCAGTTTTCGCGCATATTGCTCCGAAGCGAATACACCGACTTTAGGTCATCCAGAATAGATTTTTGCGCAGAGCTAATTGAGCACCGTGGTTCATGCGCAACATCGACCTACATGTAGATTAGAGCCACCCACCATAGCACAATTCCTGAAGTCGGCGTCGCGTCGCCACTTCGAGTCCGCTGCCGCGCATCCCAATCCGCTACTCGCAGGTGCCGTCACCTACAGAACCCTACCGCTAAGTACGTTCCGCTACAAATGGCTTAGACCACGACACGTTCTCGATTTCCCTGACGATGATACGACCACCGCCATCGACAGGATAAAGCAACTTCGGAAACACACAAGAACACACAGCACTCGGCGGCGAGTGCGGCACCCCACGTATCTGGCAGGTTTTCCCCCCTTAAAGATAGAAGCGTTTCTGGAGTTTCTACCGCCACTTCTTCTCCCAGTGCCAACGCTTTCCGAAGTGGTAGTAACGATAGCTTGAGAAATCGTCCTGGTCAAGTACTAACGATCGAGCCGTGATTCGGCCCTTTCGGGCACCCTCAAATCGGAATGCTGGACGGGTACTAAGTGACGGCCAAGGCCGAAGTCCTCTCTCGGGGGCCTTTACGCCTAGTTAGCCCATGGAGCAGCCGCCAAAGCACCCTAAGAGCTTAGCAGCCTCCCAAAAAGGTACAAATAATAATAGCGTGGCGGCCCGAGCCTCGAGCCCCCGACCTGAGTCACACGCCGCTAGGCGCCTTTAGCGCCTGGCCACCTCAAGCCCGGTGTATCTGTAAAGGCCTCCCAGGGCCAACAGTGGTCGATCCAGCCAAAAAAAAGACAAACGATTTTTTTTAGAAATACATAATCCCAATTTTATTTTTAATTTTTTGTTTTGTTTTATCACATTAATGCCAAAATTTATGTATCAAAATTTTCATTTGCGACACGCATAGACCGGTAAATGCACTCCTGACTGGGAGTTCATAAACTTTATTAATACACAACTTCCGACCAAGAAATGCAAAAGTACTTCATACCTATCTTTTTAGTCTGCGGGAGTTCAGATCAAATTCATGAAGATTCGTTATTGTGTTTTCAAGAAATAAATAAAATATATGGTATTAAAGATATTGTTCGCTTTTACAATTTTTAATACCCTTTCTTCTTTAACCAAAGAACTTAAAAAAAAAGTAATTTGAAGATATGTGAAGTCCGTCAATCCGCATTTTGGCTGCGTAGTACGCTATGCTATAATACCATCAGGATAGGGGAGGCCTTGGCCAAGCAGTGGGACATGTATAGGGTTTACTACATTACTTTAATTATTATAATCAAAAAGAAAAAAATGGAGCCCGATTCTTCACAATGCTCAGGTAATATTATAACAAATACTGCTGCGGTGACAATGTAAAAACGGGTGAGTACATAATTTGATTCTTGGTTTATGCAAACATAAACATGCTGTATGGCGCAGTGAGCAATAAAAACATTACGTAAGCCGTCGATAACAATCGTAATATGGTGTACTTCTCATCGTTTTGTAAGTACTTGGATTTTATATAAAATCAATATAGATAACACTATTTCAGTAAGTTATTTTTAACGAGCATGCAGATTTTTCCTTTTCTCTAAGAATATTTCTAAAAATTTCCTTAGGATCTAAACAACCAAAAAGAAGTACTTCTAATAATACTGATTATATAAACAATGGCGTATCGTTTTAATACATACGGAAACGCGATTCATAGTCGCGTGTACTATGGTTTTTTAGTTTTTTGTCCAGGTTGAAAAAAAAGTGAGTTTTAACAACGACTCCAATCATGGCTTCGTGATACTCATCAAAGACTTAATGTCAAGGTTGATGCTGTTGCAGATAACACAACAAAGATGCGATTATAGGTTATACACGTTTGTTTGGTGATTAAAAACGTAATTCATTTGGCTGTAAAACTTTGAACTTTCAATATTTTTCATTATAATATTAGACATGTAAACGATTTTAAACACCCGATAATAAAATTGCCTTTGATATAATCCGTGAAAGGTAAAAAGCGTAATTTCGTAGATATTACATGAGAAATATTCAATGCCAAGTTCTTGACAAACTTAAAAGAAAGGCAACTTGTCGATAAATAAATTCTAATAATATATACACTTTGCTATTTTAAAGCAAACTAGCAAAGATACACAAAATTGTTAACGTGAAACAACTGCTTTGAAAACCAAAAAGTGTTCTATTAACAACGGCAAAATTTGTTCTATTTTTAAAGAGGTACTTACAATGAGCAAACTTCGATCATAACTTCTTTCCAATAAATCATGGACGCTTGACAGAGCTTTTGCAACAAGTGTCATTGTAACAATGATACGAGACTTTCAAACGAACCCATTGTGTTTTCACTCACGTACTATTACTTAATCAGCCCATCTAACGTCGCTTATGCATTTCTTTTATTTAATTAGAGAATGGTCAAATTGGTAATTTCACACAAGCGTATAGACAGACAGACATGTGCACGCAAAAGATGTATTAACATGACACAATGACCTCAAGCCTTTTATGTTCTTTACCTATGGATCTGTTAATATTTTATAATATATACGGTTTTTGCTAACTGAGACTCCGTTTATTTAATTGAAAAAAACACATACATTGTATACGATAAATAAGTCATTATAGTTACTGTAATATGTATGAACTTATACATATACGTTATACATAACGGGTCGCTTCTTTATCTTAAAATAATTGAATAATAAAAAAATGTATTAGTTTATGCACATGAAAACACATGAAAGTTTGCTTTCTGCATATAAAATTGCTTGTTAATGATGTAATAATGGAGGATCCCTCATTACTCGGAACGTTAAGTGGACTTACAAATAAAATTATTGTTCATTTCTTGACACCGCTTCATGCAAATTATTCAAATTCCCTTAACTTTGCAATATAGTGATAATTGTGTAATAAGTACTCATTGACGACATTGTCGAATTGCCAATAAAATTTCAACCAATCAAAAGTTTACAAAAAAGCTGAGCCCGTCCGAACAAGAGAGTGGAGTTCGACGCGTCACCTCCGACCCATCCTCACATGATGTCAGCCTTCTGCAAGTAATGTACCACGGGGATCATATAAAACGAACGATCCCACACCACTCGTTACTCACTCGTTAGTTTGTGCTCAAGACGATAACCAAGCAACATGCTCAAATACGTAAGTTGTGCTATAACCATTAATATATTCGATGCATTTAATTATTCAGATCTGTTTGAGTGAAATAATTAAAATTCAAAATTTCTTTTTCGCTAAAGCTTAAACATTTTTACTTCTTGAATAATGCAACAGTGGTGAAATAATACAAAATGATATGTTTTGTGAAGTTAAATAAAGCTCAGTCAAATATGACTGAGTGACTTTTGAATATAACAAATGTTGGACTTGCAAAGGTAATACTAATAAATAATACTTCAATAAAGCATACGTATGGGCCATGTGATCAATAATATGAAAACTAGTTTACTTCAAAAACTTCAGTTATGTCGTTACTTTAAGTAATATTTTGTCCATATACAAACAATAATAATGTTCGCAAAGTTAATAAAATCGGCTATCGGGTATAACTCACTTTTTTTTTAATCCCTATTAGTAAATAACTTATATTTGTCCCTTATATACCTTAAGTTCACGTAGTAAAAAAGGAAACAAATATACCACAAGTGCCCTAATTTCCATTACTGCTTGGCAGTACAAATGTCACCACGTTGAGGATATTTGCATGGCTGTTAGTATATATTTTATGGCACTATTGTTATCAGGTAACCGTCCTATGCGTTGTGGCTGCCCTGTGCTCAGCAGCCCCGCAGCAAAATAACCAAGATGTACAGATCTTGCGTTTCGACAACGACGTTCAGGTCGATGGATACAGTTTCGCGTAAGTATTATTTTCATTTTGTAGAAAAATTTTGCATAGGAAATCATATTTTTCTTAATTTAGCTAAATGATTTGCATTTGTTTTTAGAAAGCTATAAATATTTCCCGTTACTGAATGCAATACTGTTTGTCTGCTTATTGTAAAATTCAAAATACGTGAAAGAATCAGACAATTTTTAACACTCTTTTATATTGTATAAAAACACCACCGGAATGAAACTCAATGGATAAATGTAATTTTTGAGGCTATACTTCTTTTCGGCGCGTTTAGAAAAAAATTGAGAGTAAAATTTTTACGGTGCGCACGCACACCGACCCGCAAAAAGCAATGTCTTTACGCTGCGCAAGTATAACTTCTTACGTGCATACATAAGTGCACACATACTTTTTTCTTTCATATAATTATGATTCCATATATGATAAATCACGAATTGTTTAAACTGACCAGGTACGAAACAAGTGACGGTACATCGCGACAGGAGGAGGGAAAACTTGACAATCCTCAGTCCGAAAACGCAGCGCTAACTGTTACCGGTCAATATGCATACGTCGCTCCCGACGGCAAGCACTACTCCGTCACATTCACCGCCGGACCCAATGGATTCCAGCCCAAGACTTCTCTCGGCCAGAAGAAATAAATCACAACGGCAACCACACTGGCACTTTAAGCAACGTGTATATATCCTTATAGATAAAAGTTGCCAGCAAACGGAGAATCATTTGTGAACTGTGAAATAACTTGATCACAATCAAGCACACGATCTCAGTTATTTCTAAATAACATTGAGCATACAGAATCAAGGATCACGGCATCTAAATTCTTGTGCCATATCATACATTTTTGTATTTTTATATTGACGCTTTTATAAATAAACTTTGTACAGAAATCTGCGTTTATTTCATATTGAAATCGGCCGATAAAACTGATTTAAGTGAGAACTACACTTGTTCTCATAAATATTTGATTCTATTATTACATAATATTATGTTAACATAAGTTTAAATTGAATAGATAACCTTGTTTTTGTTACCCATTTCAGAAAGCATGGATGCCAAAACTTTTAATGATTCTCTTTAAATAAGAGCCTAATCTGATGCAGAACCGGACTCGAAATCTATGTATTACAGATTTTGTTTTTCAAAAATATTTACTCCTGATCGGGAGTAGATGTAGGGAAAAGAAATGGCAGTTCACAGGAACAACAATACAAAGTACATGACAATATCTCGCGTTCAAATTATGTAATGCTTTTCTATATTCTTCACTACAGCAGATATATACTTGATTTTTTTTTGTATTATCTTAACGTAATGATATTAATCAATGTTAGAATTATTAGCTTATACCAATATAATATAACTTCATGAAAATAAATATAATAAATAAGATGCTATGCTGGATAGCTAGTTAGTTCACATGAGGTGAACAACATAAAACTCCTTTATTCAAGCAAATGTAAATAAGTCGAATAATACAACAACCATTGCAGAACCGGTCAAGGGCGTACAGTTCTTCTCGATTACAATAAAAATAGTCAAACTTGATTTGAAAATTATTAGACAGGATTCTAATTTTAACAAACTTCTGCTCATACAAATTCAAGGTTTTTTGGAGTCACGTTCGAATGAAATAAACAATAACGTGATTGAAAAGGAAGCCCCTTCGGGGGCCGCTCATATTTGCTATTACACCTTCAGCTGTATATACTATTTATATAATAATTATCTTAACTATTAAAGACGTCAGAACAGTTAATGAAGTTTTTTTTTTTTCAATGATTAAACTGTGAACACTTTGTTATAATGTAATCTATGTTTTTTTCTACAAATGCAATATGTATTTACACTTATTGTTATGCACATTAAACATGAGAAAAACATCGCAAAGGGCTATGTGTACAGCTATTTTTTAATTATAAATAAATTGAGGATAAATTTGACTACGCAGCAATGAATGTAGGCTATTTCGTACTTGAATATGATGCAATGCATCCGTGCTGGAGAATACAAAAAGGACATCTAAAAGCGATTACTGTTAACGAATCTAGTTAATATCTCATCTGTATATCACAAGATTGTTAGTTTAATGGATGTCCGCCGAAGCAATAAACAATTGTTATCATACTATGTTCGTAAAAAATATATTTGCGCTGAATAAAGTATTCATTTTGAATGATCATTTATGATGATGCACTAAGAAACCCTGCAACACTGCACATATTAATAAACCTTTCTAGCATCGTTCAACGGAACAATAAAACGTAGCCGTGATCACCACCTTGTCCTAATAAGCCATCACTTATTTTCAACATGAAAATACTAACCTAAAGTTATAACGTCACTCATGTTTATGCACACACACAAAAACACTTTCTAATACACCCGGCTCTCTGCAACAAACATCTTATTACATCATCCTTCTACTCATAATCTTTAGTCTGTCTTAGTAAAACACCAAAATAATCTAGTCCGCTAGTGAGTAGGGGTAAGGTAAGTTATTCAGGACCCTCAAACACTCTTTGCCCATTATTAAAATTTTGGATAAGACGATGTAATCTACATTTCATCGTATTGCTCGTTATTATATTAACTTTAATGCAGTCATCTACCCAATATTGTAATACTTACTTGCATATTGCAATCCTTGACTTGATTGACGCAATCCATTGAGGCTTTGAACAATGTAAAATTTAGTTCTTAGTTTACGATTGAAGAAATTAGAGAACTTTATAAATTCGAGACATAAAAAGCTGCGGTCTTTACGATGTGGTAATTAAACAGTCACATGCTTTCTGCACCTCTCGTCACCACCCGCTTAGATAATATACCAGGATATATTCATGGATTGCTAAATTACCTTAATTAGTCTTTGATTAATTAAAAAAAACCTTAATTATTGTTTGATTAATTTTGCTTATTAAGGAATTGTACAGTTTTTTTAAATTGTCTCTATCATTAGGATAAAAATATGATGAGTAAAGTAAAACATATGATTTTCAAAACAAATTACATATTCACTGGTAATGAAATGTTAATATTGATGACAGTTGAGTTATTAACAGAACTGTTATTAACACACAATATTATAATGCCACTTTATATTCAATAATTCAAGTAGGATTGTAACATTACAGTAGCTTTTACGAATACAAAACTTTTTCGTCATTTGTTTATGTTTACACGTACACAAAACACACAGCGTTCCCATTAAAACCGTTTACACATTAGGTGTAATGTTTTATGCTAAGAAATTTCATACTGCAGACACTCTCCGCGTATTTCGTAAAGCAAGCTAAATGCCAGCACACATGTCGCCAGTCAATGGACGAACCTTAGGTTTCCGTTTAGCACACATGAATCTTCACACTGCAATATTCACGACAATTCGTACTATTGTCCATTACAAACACTTGTGTTAGTGCAATGGCCCAAATGAAGGTTAAACTAAATTAGGAAATAAATTAGAAAATTTTCGAAGATTAAGTTTTTTTGGCTATATATACAGCCGATTATATATATGTAATCGGAATCTCGGAAACGGCTTTAGCGATTTTCATGAAATTTAGTATGTGCGTAGATTCGGGGGCGAAAAATCGATCTAGCATGGAATGAAAAATATCATTCGAATATGACAGTAAATTTCGCCGCAAAAAAACAAATGTTATAATAGCTCGGTCTGCCCCAAAACAGACGGCCGAAGTTCGTGTCACGGTCATTTACACACTTTTTTTTCTATACCAGATTACTTGTAAAAACGCTTAACTATGAAAGCACCAATGAAACTTTTTTAATGTAAGTAGGTAAGGTGATGGCAAGTGAACCGGTGGTTAACCTGAATAAAGACGAAGAGTGAGGGCAAATTACACGAATTTATTTTTCAATGCACATAAATAATTCTTTGCTCTAAACGGCCTTACACGTCACACAATTGTCAGTAGCAAGGTTCAAATATTCTTAAGTAATAATTTGTATCGTTGATTTCATTAAAATATGAAGCTTAAATTGCAAGGAATTTAAACATCTTCGTCTATAATGGAATCGAATTTTTCTTAAATATAAGACAGTGACAATTGAACGAAAGAAATTCGAAATAGAGAATAGAGCAAACCCAAAAAAAGTGTTTGGCACTGCGACTAAAGCCGAAATGAAACCAATAGATTAAATTTTATGAAATGTAGTTTTGCCTTTTTTCGAGTCTATATCGGCTGTTCAAATTCTTCCTGATACTTTTGTACAAAACGCACAGTATGGGCAAGGATGCTGCAAATATGGATGCATCTATCATATAAGTTTTGCATCTGACGCACCGTAGACAACGACGTGGGAGTGCAGCTTAGTCTGTGTCGAAATTTGTCAGTACAAGCACAGATATCTAATTAAATAGGCTAAGCACTAATCTCAAAGGCACCCTCAATGTGTATTGACAGACATACTTGCTTTGTTATCGTTTCGTGATGTTTTTTATTTTTTTGAGTTGAGTTGAAGTATTTTATTCCTTCGTAATTGCGTAACGTGTAATTGCTATTCAATTCTAGAGTTTTACATTAGTATAAGTGAGCGATCGGACTCTTGCTTTTGTTTTGTGTGTGTTCGGACTTCATTGCTTAAGTTTAAATGATAGTTTATTGCATAAAACATTGAAAATGTGTACATCAGATCGTAAATCATATTTAATAATGTTATAGATGACGCATTTACATACTGCGCGACGATTAAAAATCTTTCCTCTTTACATTATATGACATAATTATATACGTGAATATGACTGATGTTATAGAACGTATAATACGGAAAGAGAAAGCAGTCTAAAGAATTGCAATCTATTTACACCAATTGGCGTAATTTGAGCGCCTCAATTTCAGTGCGCTAGTGCCATATCTACCTCGTATTTGTATATAATAGCATTAAGGTTGCTGGTCGCTTTGAGTTAGGGCCGTTTTAATTGATTCGTTCTATGAAGAATAAGTAATTTAATAAAATGAATTATTATTTCTAGAGTTTATAATTATTTACTCACAGGATGCCGAATATCACTACAATTGACCTTTCATTTTGAAACGAAGTGGGGATCACATTTATTTTTATAGAGATGATATTTACGACGATGAACCGGGCACGTTACTCTTCTAGTATCTAATACCTATCTATTCTCACGTATAAACATAAATCGTAAATGCGTATTTAAAGTTAAGATGCTCACATCAAAGCAGTGGCTATCTCCCTAAATACACATTAAATTTGAAGTTAAATCATAAAGTTCAATTAGACATAGCCTCAGTTTCGGAAACATAAAAATGAGATTTCTTATTAACACAGGTGAATAAACAGAAATAGTGGGCAGAAAAATAAAAAGATAATTCTTTATCTCCGAAATAAAACTAAAATCACAGTGACATAAGATTTTTTTCCGGGGGCCTAAAGCTCCTGAGAAAATAGGCAATGTCCTTTAACCTCTTCGCATGCCAGTAAACTTAAGGCTTAAGTTGGATCCACCGCTTTTTGCCCACCCAAGCCACGCTCTTTCACATCCCTCCAAAGCGTAGGTAAGATCATAAATAACTTTATCTTACTACATTTCAAGACACCCTCCAGTTTTTAATTTCAAACACAGCAAAGTTGTGTCTTAATAAAATTG